TGGCATCACAACAAAAATAACAATAAAAATAATTGGCGGAGGGTTTGTGATACAGAACATTGAGAAATAGACGGAACTGTTCAAATGGAAAATTACAAATAAATGGGATAGAAATCATTTGTATTCCACTTCTTGAAATTTTGCGAGTTAGTTTATCATTTTAAGGGACACGGGACTTCAGCAGGCAAACCTTACAGAATTCGCGCCACCGATTTCTATTCTGGGTCATATCTCTGAGCTTCTCTAATAGCACTCTAATGGGACTCTAAGGAACTCTAAAAGGACGACGGTGTTGGCAGTGCCAGTGATTAGATTAAACATTATGTTTCACTATCCGTATATCATAGTAATTTGGATCCTGATCACAAGAGGGTTGAACTTATAAAGTTTTATAAAATTTAGGAATCCTGGATGTGAAGGAAACAATGAAGTATTGGGTTCCTCGTCAATATAAATCAGGGATCAGACGGACAAATCCTGTGCTTTAAGTAGAAGAAAACTCGGAGCTATTTCCCGTTCCCTTTAAAAACTCTCATACGACGGTTTCAGGACAATGTACACCTATCATGTCCGACCTGGCTTGGAGTTTGTGAGGTCGGCGGTAAATCTTTGCACAGTAGCTGAATTTATAAAATTAAGTTGTTCCACCACATACACTAAGCGGGCTTTTTGATAACACGTGCTTCCTAGGATAAGTAAACACAAATTACCTCGACGGTGGTAGGTATAGTGGAGACAAACACGATCCTTGCTCTGAACGAGTAAGAAGAGGGATGTGCGCGACAATAATGCAGAAAAGAGTTTACACGTACCACAAGTCTCATCGGGATATTTGACAACTGTTCGGTGAAGCGTAAACAATTACGGTAGTCCTGGTAAGACATGAACTTGTCTTTTGAGTGATAGAGGACAAATAATAAAATAATAAAATGTTTTTTACTTCCTTCTTTTTTTCATTGAATATACAAATGTACTGTATATTTTCTCACCCCCCCCCTTCAAACGATCTAAATCAGTAAAAAAGTACCAACAACCATTGTAAAACTTCAGTATCAATCAATTTAACATAATAAAATATCAAACTACATAGAATTGAATTAGTTTCTACCTAAATGTTTGCATGGCTATCCCATGAGTGACTTTTTCCTGTATGCTTTACTGCGCGACTAAACGGCATCCCAATCTCGGATTGTACACACAGATATAATCTCCAAACCCTCATTCGCGGTATGGACAAAATAACTCAACAATATGATGTGAGAGGTTTATTACGAAATTGAAAACAAATAAACAGTCCCGACAGCACATTGTCCAATTACATTGGGATTCATCTTAAAGTAATTGATTTGTAGTAAAAGAATGGAAACAAAACTAATTATTTAGGGAGCATTTGAGGGTACGGTTGATATGCGTAACACACAAACACACAAACCACCCAACATAATCTATGAAAATCGACAATTTGCTCCTGTGGGCAACAGCAGTAACCTACAACTCTATGGCTAACCTCAGCATTGTTTGTCCGATTGCCCCAGGTGATGAAATACTTTACTTTAATTTACTGCGGCTGGCTCCTTGGAAGGGATAAGCCGGCTCCAGACTTGATCATGAAGTTCCTTGGAAGTTTGGTACGAGAGACGTCCCCAGCGTCACTCGGCGTTTTATTATTCTGAGGGCTCACCTTTGGCCTTTGCACAATTATGTGCAAACTGCAAGGCAGCAGGAAGTAATCTCTCGCCTCGGAAGTTAGGCGACTTTAGTTTTAAAAGGCCAGTCACGTCAACCTTTGTTACAACACCTTTATTCGGCATATGCGGCTTTTAAACAGAAGCCAGGTGACCAGCCTGAAATCCACCACACCACGGTAGTACCGCCGCTGTTTGATCGCGGCTGTTTATTTGTTGCGGTATGCCACAAGTAATTGATAGCTAACCCTATTCTATGAAGGTAACTCCCTATCCACAACCCAAGCTCGCGTTTGGTAGCATTCAACTCTGCTTAACCAGAGGGTATTCAGGTGAGGGAATGAAAATAGTAAAGGCTGGCATGGGGATAGAAAAACCCTGACCAGGTGGCTTGCCAACATAGATCGCCGTAGGCTTTCTGAATGGTGACCCCGAAGCGTAACCGTTGACCAGATACACCGAGTGTTATAAACATCGGTGCTTGTGCATATGCTTTCAACTCTAGTCTTCGCGAATTCTCAAGTTTTGTCTTGGCACTACTTTTAACATTCCAATCTTCTCATTACTCCTTTAACCAAATGGAAAGCCAATAGAAAGCAACCGAAAATTGGCGCCAAAAGTTACACGGTTCATGATAGTAACAATTGAAACTGTGTTATATGGTTAAGTATTGGAATTTTTGCGTGAGTAACTTGCTACATGGACCCCTTTTTGAAGATAACAAAAGTCGGCTTCACACCTGTCTAACTCTGAATCATTTCAGTTGATGCATTTTGCACTGGCATTCCTGAAACTAGGTCATCAAACAACGTTCATATAAGCACTTGCTAAAAGTAATATACTTTGTTTCCAAATCACTACGGTACCCGATTTTTCGTTTCTAAAGGATGTCTTCGCATCAAAATCCTGCCGATTATTGCTTATGAAGACATTTTACGAAAATAGCAACCGCATTATCTCGCGGCTGCAGTGTCGTACGAACTTTGATCTCTGAATAAGAATCTGTCAGTATTGTGATCATTTACGCGTATTTCATATTTTTCAGTCGGGGATACGTTTGTTTTGAATTGCTCGAATTCGGTTATCATTCACATGGGAATGCTACAAATCAATATATCTCTGGTGTTCACTAATTTCAGCGTTAAAAAATCACCACCCGGTTTTCGGTCAGTTTCTTGCTGAATTTTACGCAACTCGGGTTCTAATTCAATCTACTGATCGGTTGTGGCATTAATTTACAATGAATCACTTAGGGATATTTGCTTTAGAACACTCGCTAATTTTGGATCACTATTTTCATTACATCTGGAATTAAGTTCATAACGAATATATGAAAATAAAATGTTGAACATTATTCGATGTGCCTTCCAAATGGAATGCTCTTCGGTGTCGAATCCATTTCCAGGCTGCATTTTGACCGACGGCTGATATCTTTGGATGGTGGTTTAATCCAATGTTTAATTAGCTCTTTCCTATTCACATTAGAGTGAGAACGAATCGGCTCCAGTTTTAACCATTCACCAATCGCATCCACTTGAAGCCCACTGTTTTCCGTTTATCAAAGCTGTCTTTAAATTGATCGCACGAAGGTCTACGAATATTTGTGATCTAACCTCCAGTAGGATAAAGTTATTATCAAGAGAGAAAAAAGTTGCTGATGAAAGCTGATATATGTACCTATCACAATTTTCACAAATATAGTGGATTATGTGTAAATATCGCCGGCTTGCGGACAAGCATGGTGCCACAATAATAATAACAGAAACCGGGGATGTGGGTGGATTGTCATACAAAACGGAGTGTAAAGACAGTTTAACAGTTACAATGGAAAACAGTAGATAACAACAAATTTGTTGTGAGTAAAAAATGACACCTTGCTAAACCGATTGTACAAAGTGCTGTTTTCGGACTGTAATATTTTTTTCTTGTATTCAGCAGTCAGGTAAATTGTGAATAACTTGATATACTTTGTGATAGACGTAAAAAATGATGGTGTCGCTGCGTTTATTTTGTAGCGATGTCACCCTTAACATTGTCATTGTTATTGTGTTATTAGCCTGATGATTCTGAAGCCGGTGATATATATATATATATATATATATATATATATATATATGCCCGACCCCTAAACAATTACAATACATTGACTCGATGGATTCAACATGTACAAGTGTTAAAAATCACTTTTTCTGCACGACTGGAAGAAACATCTCGGTAGGGGTGTCGTAAATTTATAAGCAGCGTGGTCTCATTTGTCGATTCTCGGTAGTTCTTTTGTTTCTTGAAGGATCAAAAGTGTCGCCAGTTAAAAGGGCTGAAGTCTGACCCATTAAGTGCAACCAACAGGATGTTGTGAAAATGTGTTGATTTCCCCCCGTACTCAAAAGACGAAATATGTCATTCAGATTATGCATAAATTTGACTATCTTTTCTTACCACCTTACGTTCTTGTCCGTGTTTATTTAGCATTCTAACTTTGAGATCGGAAAACGTTTTATCCTACCGGGTGATGGTGGACCGATGGTAACGTCACTAAACGGAGGACGTGTGTTCGAGTCCCACCACCGCCGACTGACTTTCCACGTTTGTGTTGTATGGCAGACCTTTGGATTGGCTGGTTCTCTCTTGCTGAAAATTGTATCATTATGTATTCAACTAAAATAAGTCAAAGTGAAATGAAAATGGAAACCGAATAGTAAGGCCATTCTTGGTGTTCCAACCAGTACAATTACTGTGCTGGTTGATATTCAGACAACCCTACCTACCGCTTTGGTCAATGATATGTTAGGCAACCCACTGTGCTCTTAGCCCATAGGTGATCTTTTTCGTGTAACACTAGGGGTGCAGTACCATGTTTCAACTCTTCGTCACTCACCGTCACCGCGCGCGCTGTGAGCCATGGGCTCGTCTTTCCTCATTCACATGTTCCCTTCACAGTCGAATGGCTGTATGTCCTTCCCGTTTTATCCTGTCCAATACTGCTATATTGCTACTGTTACTGCGTATGATTCCATGTGAAGGTATAAGTCTTTTTTTCTTTGAGCTGAACCGCTCTCCTATTGATTTCAAGAAAATAAAAAATCATTTTATCATTCTCAGGTTACAAAAAAATGACAAGATTGATAAAATGCGTGTGCAAGAATTCAAATTCAAGTCAAGCTACGTTTCATGCACCCAAATGGGTGAAATTTTAATACTTCCTGATATCTTGCATTGGCTGGTGCTGTCAAACACGATTGTTCCCAGGTTTTCTACCTGTTCAGTTCGACTAACGGCACAATTTGATCTATTTCAGCACGTTTCACGTGAACAGGCATGACAGCTGCGAAGGACTCGTATAGTAAATTGCAAACAGACGACCCAATCAGAATTGCAATTCCCGAGTACAACTATCGACAAGGCGAACGAAAGACCGCACTGTATGAAGGTTCTGGATGGTATATTCCGTCGGAACGAAGATGGGAATCATACGATCAACATCATGAATTGCCTCGCCTGAGTCGACGTGACGCAATCGATTTTGCAAACGAAAAAGATTTTGTAAACTTCTTGAAAAAGAGAGATGTTCCAAAATGTAAGCGTATTTACTGCCTAATCTATCCAATTTTATTACTACTACACAGGGAAGAAGATCACTGCACACATACCATCTTGTCCGCCATCCGTCAAATGGAATGGACATCAACGTATTGCGCACAATGAGCTGGAGAACACCTGCCAATATCATACTGAAACGAGACCGCTATGGGACGGTCCGGGATACTACGGTTATTATCAAGAAGTAAGCGTATTCACGAAATCCTGGTTGGAAAATCGAGCTTAGAGTTGAAGTGTATTCATTTTAAATAAATTGATGGCCTTAGCTAAACTTTGGTAGATTTGACCTAAACTGATTACTGACAGGCATTAAAGTAGTCAATTACTTAATACGGTTTTTACGGGTTTGAAACAGTTACCAAAATAGTACTGTACCATTTACTTCTATACAACATAGACACAAGATTAGATTACTTCAAAAAAGTGTATAAAGTCTATCGAATTAAATGCTATTTTAGGTAAATGAAAAGATACACAATAAAATCTGAATCATACTAGGATGAGAAAAAAGTGAAACCAAAAGAATTCTCTGAAATGTGTGACAGTATGGGAAATTTCAAAATAGATAAAGAAAGATTCTTCCCATAGAATAATCGATGCTGGAAGTGGTTGAAACATTAAAAAAAGATTTTCCAACATATAACTGACCCAGAGAATTGTGTACCCTTCCGTACTCCATTTTTTCCTTTTCAGATTCTTGACAGACTGCGAAAAGGCGAGTGTCGTCGATTTGCAAGGCAAGGCAATATTGGCTATCCATATTTCACTCATCAAACATACTTTTGATCTGAGCTATTCGGACGATTGGATGAATCTGCGGAGATGCTTGGGCATTTCATTGCTACCTATTCGAAAAATACTATTTGCTTGAGATTCAGGAACTCTAACCTGATGGACTTCATCTTTTTGAATTCATTTCAAATCTCTTCTGTTTGCTTGACCGGTGTGGTCAAGTACAATGAAGGTTTTCGCCACGATTTCGAACTGATCTAAATCGCTTTGGGGTGAGAACGACAATCACAATATAGGAATTTCGAACATCTAACATTTGTTTACACAGCACCCCACTGACTTTCCCGTATGGAGCTGACTCGCGTCGTTCTTATCCAAGGTCGTGCTCAAACTAATGCTATAATGGATTAAAAATGAGTAAGACTGATCAAATGTGCACAAAACAGACTTTGGATAGTCGAACAAAACCGACAAAGCCCTTCACAAAAAGGTCGATTTGAAGGTAGAAAAACAATGCCGTGATTACATGAAATGATCTTCGGACAGTGTTTACCGGAAGAAACGTAGTTGGTGAGGAACTGCAAACAANTGCAAACAAACCGCAAAAGGATATCTGTGAACAGCCGTGTTTTTAAGCAGAACTGAAACAAAAGATGATCGGCACAAAATGAAATGCACCTCATTATTCTTAGTGGAATTCCTCGCCGTAAATTAAAATGATGACATATCAGATAGTATTGCCCATCAGTAATCAACAGCTTAGGACGAACCCGATGGTCATTTTCATATCCGTATTGTTCTCCGTGACTATCTTGTGATATGAAGGTCAAGATTCGTCGATATTTTTATGAGCTACCATTGAGTTTCGGAAGAACTGGGATAGAACTTAACTAGAAATACTCATCTTAAGAAATGCTGTATTAAATATACGAGGCACCAAAGGATCACACACTCTCCATCCCATTGTGGGTGGATTGCCGATCATCTACATTTATAATTTTGTTGGCGAATATTCTACTTAATTTTTATCAGTAGCAAAAATATAAGTGATTAAAAATTAGGCTTGGGCGACCACCATCAAAACGGTCCAAGACAATGGCAGACGGAACGGTTTATGCATTTTGGGATAAGACTTGAATGTGGAAGTAATTTCTCCGAACCATGTGCTACCAACGTCTCCAGAGACGGTTACGACATCACTTGTTTTTGTGAAGAGGTGTAATTAAGTAACAGAGTGCGCTAGTTATTAAGCACACTGATTGACTACTCTGAAAAAGAACCAATCAGCAAGAAATTTGCTCCGTCTCGGTTCAGTAAGTAAATGGGTAGTCAAATGGAAAAAATGTTTATTTTTTGGCTACGGGTATGCATGTAGCCGGTCCGTAGTTCTGCGAGCAAGCGTAAGTGCACAAGTAACCTACTTGTACAGCAGAATGAGTACGCAAGCCCATGAAAAGAATGCACAGCGAAATTTTCTCAGACAGGCATGTCAAGGTCAAACGCCTTCCGTGTTAGTATATAACATTTGTGTGTATTCGCTGACAGTCGTATATCAGAGGAATCAATCAATTCATCAATCACCTGATGGCGTGTACATGTGCGTTGTGTATGTTCGCCAGTGACTGTTCTAATCGGTCGCAAATTAACGTGCAAAGCACTGAATTGTTCTGACAGCTAACTGTTTAAGCATGATACCATTTCAGCGAAAACAAAAAAGAGAAGGCCCCCGTTGTTTTATTAACCGAAAGTGTGCTGAATAAAGCACGCTATTTGTAAACGGGATGATAAATGCTGGTTATAAAGCTATCTTCAGATATCCACTTCCAAATCAATCTGAAATGACGGCAGTAGCCTGAAAAAGCTGTGAATTTTCAGATTCTGATGATTTACCATTATAAAGGGCTTTTGAGAAAGAATGCTGTGATTTGCATTTTTATCAGAAAACTCATGAAAAACCTGTCTGTTCGTTTCAACTTTCCACCTTACCTTGGTTGAAAATCCTCAAGACAGTATCATCATGTGCAAACGTCGGCTTATTCAGTCCACCATTTATTCCGAGCACTGTATCAAACTCGAGTTTACTGCTCCTAAGTGGAGCATTTCCACTACCACTTTATACCAAATTGGAATTCTGGGTTTATTTCACGGGCGGCGTGGGTGACCGGTCTACGAACCAAGTTTACCGGAATAAAATGTGATGGTGGTATGTGTCACATAAATCACAAGATAGGTTCCCGGGGCATGCGCTATTTTCCGAGACAGTGAGTGAAAGAGGATCAAAGGCGGCCATAGTATGATCTGGTTTGAAAGTATGCAGGTATTTACTAGTATACTTGGTCATGTATGTCCTATGTTATCAAAGCAGAAATCCAGATTAGGGTAAACGTTGTATAGAAAGTGAGTGTCTTTGTATACTAGATGTGTATGTATTTCACACGCTTCTGAGACTAGATTATGTACCAAACAGATCACGATCCACGATTCTAGAACAAAGGATAAGGTGCACTATTTGTTGGTGTTTGTATTAAGTAACTTCTCCAAGCGGTGAGGCTTACATTTCACTTACAGCAACTGCACATGCCAACCGGCACGCGGAACATTTAACGGAGGAAAATTAGTTCACAGACAGCATGGAGACATTAATTATTTCAAGGTAAAGACGATGTTCATTTGTGTTGCCCTCTTTTTATTTGTGAGTAAACGTGCAAGATAGGCATAGGCGAATTTCGATACGCGTTTATACGAGAAGATATTTGTCGCAGTTCAAAGCGTGAGGTGGGATTGGAGCGGAGACGTGTCAGTTCTGCGTGCAATGGGTGGTTAGGGTCTCTTAATATCCTGCTCGCAAAGTCGACAAAAAAAATTCTTATGATGATCTGGAAGTTTCACAATTAAATAATTTAAAGTAATTGAAAAAAGACAGCTGGTAATCATTAGACTACGGCGTAAGACTTTTAAGTCGTTTTTTAGCAAGCCGCAGCTAATAACCGGGGGATAATGAAGTAAGATGGGAAAGACACCTTGGTATACAAGAGTAGAAATGACTGATTGGGGGTGTGCAAAACTGCCTGAGATTTCGAATTTGAAATGGTAGGCCTCACAATTCACCAAGACAGTTGTGAATGTGGGTTAACCAAACAAGATTGCTATCTATAGTTACACCAAGATATTTAACAGACCAACCTAGGTAAAGGATTGTTATTATTCACTGTAGGGTCAGTTGCGAATGAAGAAGAAGAAGAATGAAGAAAATCGATGTAAACATTCAACAAATTGGCTGGGGTTTAAACTAAGCTCCTATTGGCAAGATAAAGACTGGATTTGAGAAAAGCTATCCTTGAAGGAAGTTAGATCGGAGAAAGAGGAAATGGGTTGGCACCGCACAACAACTGTATATTTCAAAATACAAATGCATGTGAAAAATAAGGATGGTGACAGTACAGCTCCAAGAGGTACTCCTGAGGGCTTAAATAAAGCCTTTTCAGGTCCGGTGGTTTGTACTCTATCAGTAAAACAGATGGATAATCAAGCTAGCCGTTGCTTGCAGAATTCAAAAGACTCCAGCTTTGCATCAAAAAATGTCTGCAAAATGGAGTTGAATACTGAAAAATGTAACAGCGTCAGTCAAGGACTTGGTTATAAATTGAAAAATGAAGACAAAATAGAAGACGTTTAAAGTGGATCTGTTAGACATGTAGATAAACAGTAATGAATCACTGGGATTGTTCATTGAAAATTGAAGGTGTAGGAGAATGAATTTTACAGCAAAAACGGAGATTCAGTTCCGTTTCAACTTAAAATCAAATGTCTATGGCTATGGGATGAAATGGTTTGGAGAGGATAGAAGATTTGAATGCTTTGGGGATTGGTATAATTGTGACCAACCTCCAACAGTTTACGAGAGTGAACATGCAACCTGATCCGTTTACAATGAAGATGATTACCTCAGCTAGGGAAGCAGGACTAAATTTGAAGAGTGCCGGAGGTAAAACACCTGGGTCTGCCAACGGTTCACTGATCTGGATTTCGGTATTTCCTCAAACCCAGGTGGGAAAACACCTCCGCCACGTGAAGGAAATGCGAGGGGCTTCCTCAGCAAGTACTATTTGGAACACTTGATTTTATGGGTGCACTTTGTGAGGTACAAGCGTGTGGGGACCATTTACAAACCAAGACACCCTCCCACCCCGACCATATCATCCAATATTTCTCGGCATTGAGTATGCTGATATCCAATCGGGGTGTGTGACTGGAAGTAGACGTACACTCGTTAAGGTCATCCAACCATCAAGCCGGGTCACAGTTTGGTCTCTTTTATCCTTCTTCCAACCACTGTCTGCCTTGGAAAACATCGAGCACCGAATGAGCCACTTTGGTAACATGCCCTGCCCACACACNNNTGGGTATCCGGGAGGGGGGGGGTCAAGTACAACAAGGATTGTCGACAATAATCTTCATTCTAGTAATTTTTCATCTCATTGCTATTCTCTCTTGACTCTGGAAGCAGATAGGTTACCAAAAGACCACAACGGAAGTCCAAAGTTGTTCAAACAGAACTGAGACAAGATTACCTTTTCCATTTTCTTTCCCGGTGACAGTCGATCAGTTGTAACTGACAGTTATAAAAGAGCTCACGTCAGATAACCTGACAAATTCAACAAAACACAGTCGATTGAATAGCNNCGGTTGTGAGCCGAGTGGTACACTGGTGACTCAATCTTTGCATGCGAGATGTTTGGGTTTCCAATCTTTACATTTTCACCAATACACGACCACATCCGGCCTCACGGATATCGCGGATCATTGCTGCTCAGCCAAACCATTGCGGCTTGTGGCATTGTCAATGCCATAGCATCTCACTACGCTTTAGGAAACTTTATAGAGACCAGTTCACTGTAGAGATTTAACATGGGCAACGATGATCAAATAAGTCCGATCTTTCGATGTAGACAGGGGCACGGTAAATAAAACTCTAGTGTGGAGGCTGATTTGCTGCACGAGGAGGGGCGGGGTCACAGTGCCTACTTAGTTGGAGAAAAGCTCTTGTGGCCTTG